GGAGGCGGAGAGGAGGAGGAGGAGGAGGAGGAGGAGGAGGAGGAGGAGGAGGAGGAGGAGGCCCGAGCGGCGAGGCTCGGCTTCGCAACGCGCATGCTGCGCCACCCCTCGGACCACGAGATGGAGCCGACGGCGCTGTCCGGGCAGCTCCCTATCATCGTGGGCGAGGTGCTGAAGGGCGCGGGGCGTCTGATCTCGCGAGGTGCCTGGTGGGCGACGTTCAGGGCTGATGATCGGCTCCGAGCGGGAGGACCTCCGAGAATGGGGGTTGCGACTGTTTCGGCTGCTGGAGGCTGGAGCTCTCAGGGGTGAAGTTCTTCGTTTGGATCCTCGAGTCCTTCGGGCCCGTGGGTGGGCTGCGCAGTATTCGCCGACGCGAGAGGTGGGTATCGCTTCGCGTCACCGCTGGTGGTTTCTGCATGGTCATCATTTTCGACCTGGTCGTGAACCACCTGCCCTCATCGAGGTCGGCAACATTGAGTTTGTCTGTCAGGGGCCGTGCAGTGAGCGGGTGTGCAGAGCTGCCTTCTGTTCGGAGCGTGTGCTGCTGTGGCACACGATAAGTCGATATGTGGAGTCATCCTTGCGATTGCCCTATCAATGCGGTTTCTGCCTCACTGCGCTTGCTGTCTGAGCGTCTGCCATACGACGTGTTCCGTTCGCGCATTCTCGAGGATATTGCAGAGCTGCGCTGGCACATGCCGCCAAGTCGGCGCTGGTGCCTGAGGACCTCACCTGCCCCGCCTGCCACGAGAAGCACACGCTGCAGCATCCCTACTGTAGAGGGAAACAATTACTGAACCCCCCCCTCCCCCCAAAACTCAATGTTGGCACGCGCGGGGGAGACTGCGGTCGAAGTGCACGTCATCAGACACACTGCCAACTTTGAACATCAGGGGGAGAGGGAGGCGTTGACAGATGAATGTGGCATGAGTGTTCGCTAATTTGTTCCGAGGCCTGTACTGCCATTCCATTTACTCGCAGAGCACACTGCTGGCGAGAGGCCTCGGGTGGCGCAGCCGCGGCAGCGCGCCGCTCCCCGTCTCCCCGCTGGCGCCCAATTGGGCGGCGGCGGAGAGGCGGGGGGCCGACGGCGCGGCCGGAGCGCGGCAGTCCCGGGCGGCCGTCGCGTGCGCCCACGCGGTGGAGACCGCCCCTGCAGGAGCGCCTGGGAGCGCCCGGGGGCGCCTGGGAGCGTCCGGGAGCGCTTGGGAGCGCCTGGGGGCGCCCGGGAGCGCCCAGGGGCGGGCGCTTGGGAGCGCCTGGGAGCGCCTGCGAGCGCCCGGGAGCGCCCGGGGGCGCCCGGGAGCGCCCGGGAGCGCCCGGGAGCGCCCGGGAGCGCCTCGGACTGGGAGCGCCCGGGAGCGCCGCCCGCGGCGCCGCCGCAGGCCCCCCCCGGGCCCAGGGCTGCGGCCCAGGCGGCCGCTCGCGCGGCCGCTCGCTCGCCAGCGGGAGGGCTTCGAGGAGGCGCTGGCCGCGCTGGCCCGCCTGGTGCTGGCGCGCGACCTGCAGGCCCGCGGCCTCGAGTCGGTCCCGTATGCATGACGTGCAAGGTGCTCCTCGGCGCGGCGCTCATCGAGGCGGCGAAGGGAGCGGGCAAGAACTAGTCCAACGTGTGCCGAGGCAGGAGCCCACCAGTCCACGGCATAATTAGGTCCGCCTCTTCCGTATCTCGCGGGGTCCGTGATCCACATTTGGCGAACGAGGCGGAGATCGTGAGCTCGGATCTGCAGGCGCCCATGAAAGCATTCCACGGGCGGATCACCGACCAGGCGTTCCTCGCGGAGACGGTGCAGTTCAAGATCAAGGACATGCACGACGAGCGCCACGCGCTCCTGCGCATCGCGATTTCTACGGCCAAGAAGGCGATCCTCGAGGTCGGCGGGGCGCTTGCTTCTCGGGGCGGCCCCGCCAGGCGGCCTCCTCCGCAGCCTGCAGGCTTGGCTGGGGCAGCGCCGAGGGAGCCCACCCTCGGGCCGACGGGGCGCGGCGGGCAGGCCGATCGCGCGTCGATCCTCGCGCTCGCGGCCAGGGGCGCGGGCCCGCGGGGCGCTCCGCCGCCGCCCGAGCTCCGGCCGCGGCGCCCTCCTCCTCCTCCTCCTCCTCCTCCTCCTCCTCCTCCTCCTCCTCCTCCTCCTCCTCCTCCCTCGCGGCCGCGGCGCCGCGGCGGCGGCGGGGGGGGGGTACGGGACGGACGGCGGGCGCCCGCGGGGCCGCCGCCCTCGAGAGGGAGCCGCCCGTGCAGGCGGCGAGGGAGCGGCGGCGGGGGCCGCCCTCGCCTCGCCTCCGCCTCCGCTGCCGTGGCCCTGCCTCCTCCTCCTCCTCCCCTCCTCCTCTCTCCTCCTCCTCCTCCTCCTCCTCCCTCCTCCTCCTCCTCCTCCCCCTCCTCCTCCTCCTCCTCCTCCTCCCCCTCCTCCCGGTCGCTCGCGTGCCCCGGGGGCCCTCGTCGCCGCGGGGTGCCGTCGTGCCTCCTCCTTCTTTGCCCGGCGGGCGGGCCGCTCCTCCTCTCCTGCAGCCTGGCATCGCTCGGGCGTGTGCACTTTTGGACCATCCTGGACCATGAAGCAAAAAAAGACACGCAAGAAACCGCAAAATGCACAGGAAATGGACGTCCGAGCGATGGCAAGGCAGGGGGCTCCGGAGTCGGCCGGCGCCTGTCGTCGAGTGCGGCGCCCAAGATGGCCATCGCAACACGTGCAGGCATATGTTCGTTCACGAGCTCCTTCTGCCCCCCCCCTCTCTGTGAATTCGAGCTGTGCGCGGCCCGCTCAGCTTCGACTGGAAGAGGTGCACTCTCGACCCGCGAATCAAAAAGGTCGTTCGCAAACGAGGTCATCCGTAACCCTTGCTGTCTTCTCCCTCTAGTGCAGTCGGGGCCCTGAAGAAGGAACCCTTTTGGTAGGGGAGGGGCTCCGCGTTCCTTAAATGTTTCACAGCTTGTCTTGGGTTTTCCTTATGTTTTCGATGGGGAATCGAAGGTTAACTTATTGGAAAAAGGGGCCTCGTTCCTTATTTAGGGTTCCTTGGGTCAACGCCTCGACTGTAGTTCTCCCCCCCCCGCTGCCGCGCTGTAGCTCGGGCGCCGAGCCCGGCGCGCCTCTCCGCGGGATCGGGCGGGTGGGGCCCAGACACTTGGCGGCTCGGTTCTGCGAGTGGATGGGCTAATTACCAGGGTTTGTTCGACACTTTTCTTGGGGGCCGACTTCTTCCACCGAGCGCCTTTGGATGGCCTTTGGGGCCCGAGGTGGTCCCCCAGAGGTCGAGATCCCAGAGCTCCTGCGCGCCCGATGTTTCACGACGTGGCCCCCACTGACTTGTCGACCCCTCGCGGACCTCCCCGGGCCCGAGAAAGGGGCCCCCGAGCGCCGGGAAGACGGGGGGACCCCCCGTCCTGTTCAGCAGTTCCTCCAGGGCGCCGGGGCCCTGAGATCGCGGTGCAACGGGCCGCCTCGATTTCCTTCGAGCCGCAGTGCCGCGGTGGAAGGCCTCGGGTTGCGCACGTGACAGCCCCCCGGGTAGTCCCAGCTGGCCACAGCAGGCGCCCGAGTTGTTCAGGGCGTTCCCATGGGGGCGCGGAGCGTCCCGGGTGCGCGCCTCCGGCGGCGCCATGGTCACGAGCCCGTCTTTCTGCTTCGTCTCTCGAGCCGGGCCCAAAAAGACGGACGGCGTGAAAAAGTTTCAGCGCCTGTGTCGCAGGGCCCATCGGCCCCCGACGTGGTGTTTTTTTTGTTTTTTGTTCACAACGTCGACCCCCAGAAGTCTAGACCCCTTCGAACCCCAGGGCCGGCTTTTCATCCTGAGTCGTTCTTGGGTCTTGGATGGTCCCGAGGCCCAGTGAGCGCCCTGGGAGGCCGAACATAATGAAAACCCCCCGTCGCGATTCTGTCAGCCAGTGCGAGTCCCTGAGATCCGACGTCTCCAAAAAAAATTGAGACGCCGTGAAAAGTCTAGCCTGGAGCCCTAGACCCTAGACCATGTCTTTCTGCGCCATTTTTCACGCCAGATCGATCCCTGAGGGTCCTAGGGGCCCGAAGTCACGCGAACGCGCCCGGCTCGAAGAAATGGAGTCGCCAGGATCTCAGGGGCGGGAGCCAGAGATCCGATGTCGTGATTTGTTCAATGCGCGGTCCCCCGACGTCTCGCCGCCTTCCCCAGGACCAGTCTTTCATCCCGAGTCGTTGTTTGACGGCCCCGGGGCCGGGCGAGAGCCCCTGGAGGCCGCAAATTGAGAAAGAAAACCTCCGTCTTGATTTCTTCAGTGCGTTGGATCTCTGGGGGGGGCTCTCTGGTCGAGTCGCCGGGCGTCTGGGGGGGGGACGTCGCCGGCCATGCCCTCCGACCCGGCGCCGGAGAGCGCCGTGCTGCTCGCCGAGCAGTCGGAGGGGCCGGCCAGGGAGCCCTGGAGGCGGCAGCGCGTGTGGGCCGGCGCGGGCGCGGGCGGCCTCGCCGTGACGGTCGGAGGGGCTCGAAGCACGCGCCCTCGCCTCGGACCCTAGGCTCACCACCCACCAAACCACCCCAACCCAACCCGAAGACTCAGATTTACCCTCGATTTCCAGTGGGGGGGGGTTCGGGAAACATAGAAAAAACACACGTGGAACCCTTACCCCCCCCCCAACCCGAAATTCGGGTCTTCGGGTTGGGTTGGGGTGGTCTGGTGGGTAGTCATAGGCGCCCTCGGCAATGACAAAAATCAGGACGGGAGGTGTTTTTTTTAATGCTCGGCCTCTGGGAGGCCCCTGCCGGCCCTCGGGGCCTTCAGACAACGGCTCGGGATGAAAAGCCGGTCCAGCCAGGGGAATGGGTCGAGATAAAACGACGCGAAGATCGGGCCAAAATCGGATCGGGATAATTCGAAATCTCTGAGAATCGACGGGTTTGGAGGACGTATTGGGCGCCGCAGCAGCTCCAGAGCGTTCCGGAACGCTCTGAGAGCGCTCCAGAACGCTCTGGAGCGATCTATCCTGATCCTAGCCCTGTTTTTCGAGATCTCCAGGGGTCGACGTTGTGGAAAAAATCACGACGTCGGGGGTCTGGGACCTGGGCGCCGTGGCGGCCTCGTGGCGGTGGGTCTGCAGACCCCCTCGTGCTCTGAGCAAGAATCACGGCGGGAGCTACTCCAGATTTCGTAAGAAAGGGAGGGGGGGGTCTCATTTCGGGGGGGGCCTCTTCCAGGCCTTCTTGGAGGGCCTGGGGGGGGTCTGGGGACGATGTTCTGGAGGGCTCTCCCACGGGGGAGGTCTGAAATGGCTTGTCTTGGAGGGTCCAGACCCCCTCCCTTTTATGACGAAATCTGGAGTATGTGTTTTTGTATGTTCGGCCTCCAGCTGGGCCGTTACCGAGCCCTGGGATATCGTCAAGCCACGACTCGGGAGGAAGAGCCGGTCCTGGGGATAAGGGGTCTGGACCTCTTGGGGTCGGCGCCGCGAAGAGTCACGACGTATCGGGGGAAGCATGCAGGATGACGATTAGGAAATGACCAGGGGTCGTTCGGGCGGTGCGAAAGGGGGGGATCGGGAAAGGGGGGGTTACGACATTTGCTGCATGCAGCTGGTTTCGGTCTCACCGAGGGGCCCATTCCTCGATACATGGCCGCCTCCGGCACCGGGAGGCGCCGGGAAAATCAGCTGCGTGAGCTGATTCTCATACCCCCCCTTTGCTATCCCCCCCTTTCGCCCGACCCGAGTCGTGTTCACGCGGCGGCGCCCGGGAGGACGATTCGAAAACACCCGCCGCGGGTTGGAAAACTATTTTCTGATCGTTCTCTCCTCCAGTCAGAAAAAATGCAGAAGTAGCAGAACACTATGTTTTAAATCGTTCTCTCCAATTTTTTATGAATCGTCATCCCGCATTAGGGAGGCCAATTACCCAGGATAAAGAACCAGCCCTGGGGAAGTGGTCGAGGTCCCTGGTCCCTGGATCTTCTCCGACGATCTGTGTTCTTGTCCATCTGGACGAGTTCTTCGGATTTCAGCCGTAAGGCGCCCGTGATCGGGACCCGGGACCACCAAAAGCTCACCCTAGGGCGCAAAACTATAATGGGGGTGGGTCGAGAGCTCTGGGGCCGCAGATTGGAGAATCAGATAAAAGGATTTCTAGGCACACTCCCTGACCCCGATGCCTTCGGGTCCTGCTCAAGTCACGGCGGAAGATATTTGGGACGGATCGGCGCCAGGGCCCTGGGACCATCAAACAACTCATGAAAGTGCAGTCCCACAGATGTGGTCTAGACCCCACGTTGACAAGATCACGACGTCGCGGGTCTGGGGAGAACCTGGCATCGCATTTCTCTTCCCACCGGGCGTTTGGGCCTCGTTTCGGGCCTTCTTGGGGCCTTGGCAGCTCGGCCCCGCTCGAGAGGTGCCGCCCCGAGCTGCAAGGGTTCCGGGGCGCCCGCCCGGGATTTTTCGCATTCTACTCGCGGCCTCGGCTCTCAGACGTTCCTGGGACCCGACGGCGCGGAACAAACGCAGCCTCGTGGAAAGTCACCGCCGAGGCCCTATAGGCCCAGCCTTGCGGCCGCAGTTTGCGGGCCGCATCGGTCCGTCCGGGCCCCGGGCCCCGACGCGGGGCCACCTCGCCTGCTGCGACACACGTTGCGACGCCAGCATCTCAGGGTTCTCGGCTCCGGCCTGCTCATCGCGGAACTCTTCCGCGTTCGAGCGCTTCCCCTCTCCTCCCCCCGCGCGGCCGCCCTCGTCTTCGCCCCTTCCTCCTGCGCGCCGGGCACTCGGTCTGTCGGTTGCCCGGCTTGGCCCCACGCTCAGAGTCGCGACGATAGGGGGCGAACAGCCCAGGGGAGGGCAGTACACATGTACAGGTGCGCGGAGGACCTCTGTCTTCGAGGAGGCTCCCGGGCGAATGCGTGTGATGCCCGCCCCTGGGCCATGCGCCCCTATCGTCGCCGCCGACACGCTGCGTGCGGACTGCCTCGGCTCGCCGCCGACGAGCACGCAGATTTGGGGCTTCTCGGGCGGGCCCCAGCCATGCAGCAGGCTGGCGGCGTGGTGTCGGGCCGTGAGCCGGTGGCGGGCGCCGTCCAGCCTCCTGCGGCGAATCCTGGGGGGTGGGCACCGTGCAGGGTTTTTTTTTTCTCTCTCTGGTTGCTCTATGCCCAGCTCGCTTCGCGAAGAGTCGCGGCGGGAGGTCCTTTGCCGTCTTCGGCCTCCGGGGGGGCCCGCGCCAGGCCCTTGGGCCTTGGGCCAAGATCGACCCCAGGGAACGCGTCGGGCTGTCCGGGGGCCCCGTGGGGAACAGAAACAAGACGTCGGATGCCTGGGTTGTAGTTTTGTGCGGCGCGATGTGAAACGATCCGGCATGATCCCGCTCCATCCAGTTTAGTACAGGTAGGTTGGAGGCCCAAAGCGTAATCGGGTTTCCCCTGTTTAACCGCTTCACGGTCCGGCTTGTTTCGGCCGAGCCGCACCCGGGAACTTTTCTCAGAGGCATGCAGCCACTTGTTTCACTACGCCGTCTTGTCGGCCAAGGAGATCGGCCGGTGTGCGGACACTCCAGCTTCCGAGGCTGTGGGATGCCTGGAGTTTCTGCACGTACGCCGGACTCCTTCGCCAAATGCCCTGGCTCCTTGGCCGTCTAGACGACGTGGTGGACCTGTGCATCGAGCCACTCCGAGGTCGCTGCCACCGCCGCCGTCCTGGTCTTCGGCGTTGGCGCCCCTGCGCCAGCGCGCCGCGCGAAGGACGAGATCTCGGAGCACAAACTCGAAGAAGAATCGAGGAGCGACGCTCGAGGATCTAGGCTCAAAGACACTTGTTTTTCGGGAGCAGTTCTGGCATCATTCCGAGATTCAGGGGGCTTCGTGGCCACGACTGGATTCGCCTCCGAACTCCAGCCACATCGCACCTCAACAGTCTCCATGTGCCGATTTGTGAAGGGGGGGGCTCGCCAAAAGAATGTCCCAGGGGAAAGGGATCCTGGTTGTCGTTCCACATTTGGAGCCTCCCGGGCCCCTCTCCGGCTGTCGAACATAACGACTCGGGACGAATAGCTGGTCCCAGGGAAAGCAGGAGCCCAGAAGTAGAGGTAGGAGGGCAAGCAGGAGCAGGAGCAGGAGCAACATATCAAAACAACAAAAGCAGGAGCAGTTGAAGAAACCAAGCACTGATAAGCAGCATACGCAGAAGTGTGTAAGGGTGCCGCCAGCGCGCGGACCCTGGATAGTTCAGGCAACAAGTGCGGAACCCCGCGCGTGCGGAGCCCCACGCGTGCGGAGTGCCATGTGTATGCTGAAGCCCCAAGCGTAATGAACCTTCTCTGTGCGGACTCCCCCCCCCCCGTGTGTGTGTGCGTGTGTGTGTGTGTGTGTGTGTGTGTGGGTGTGTGTGTGTGTGTGTGTGTGCGTGCTTGTGTGTGTGTGTGTCTTGGCATCGCTCGGACGTGTGCATTTTTCCTTCGGAGAGGACCATCGAGGAGCGTCCTTGATCATTTGGCGAAAAAACCACGCACGAAACCGAAAAAAACACAGGGAATGGACGTCCGAGCGATGGCCAGGTGTGTGTGTGTGTGTGTGTGTGCGTGAGTGTGTGTGTGTGTGGAGCGTAGTAGGTCCCCCGCGTCGCGCCCTGCGGCTTCAGGACCGTGCGCGCCTCCCGCCTCTTGCCCCCTGCACCGCGTGCGCGCGCCGGCCTCTTCCGCGTGCTGCCGCCCTTCGCGGCCTCTGTCCTTTGCACGCGGCTCCTCCCGTCCTTAGTGGGCCCTGGAAACGACAGGGCCGTTTTGTTACCGGTTCCGTTTTGCCGTTTTGTGCCGGCTCCGACGCCGTTTTTTTACCGGTTCCGTCGCCGTTGTTTGACCGGTTCCGGCTCTGGCTCCAGTCCTGGAGGACATTTTTTTGGGAAACGGTGAAAAAACGGCCCTGCCGTTTCCGGGGCCCAAAGCTCCCATCTGGTCCCCCCCAACCGCTGCGCCGGCTTGCAGTTTGCCGGACAGCGTGTCCTGGCTCGGCGCTGGCGACCGTCGTGCAGCCGCCGCGCCGCCGGAGGAAGCGTGTGATCGCGCGTGGGGCCCCATTTCGTGAGGAGCACCACAGCGGAGGCCCATGCCAAGGAAAACCCTGCTCGCCTCCAGGGTGCCCCGGGTCTCTTGGGTTTCGATTGGTTTCGCCATGGAGAGCGTGACGTTCCCACACCAAACGTCAATGGACGTCCTGGGGTCTCAGGGTTGGGTTTCTTGTGGAGGGTTTCTTGTGGACTGGCCTCCAGTGTCAGTGTACGCAACACCAGGCGCGTTGAAACTTGTTGGTCTCTGGATGCCAAGGCGTGTGGAGCCCGGGGGGGGTCCAGTTGCCGCGGTGGGCGGATCGCCACGGGGCGAGGGGGGCGCGTGGATCTTTATATGGAGCTTCAAAGGCAGCGACGTGTGGAACCCCGTGGGGCGACAGGGGTGTTTGGAACCCCGTTGGGGGTCCAAGAACCCACTGGCCGGCAGCAACCCGAGCTTTCAACGGGGCCTTGCTCCTAAAAGTCGGCAAGGGCTCCTCAAGCGCAAGCGCTGCGTCGGGAATACATACGGCCGTGCAGTGGTGGTGGGGTAGAACCAGTGACAGAAGTATGTGCAGATGCGAGCGCTCAAGCAGAGGTGCTGGTAGACGCAGACCAGGGCTCCCCTTTGCTGCAGAAGCGTGACTTGTCTGCATCGACCCCCGCCCGCCGAGAAACAGGCAAATAGGAGACCGTCGCTTCGGCCACAGGTCGGAGTCTCCGCTCTCGATCCCCGTGGTTCCCCGACGACGCCCTGAGAAGAAGCCATGGCGCCCTGGTCTTGTTGTTTCACGACGCCCGCGACCCCTACCCGTGCGGGCACCACCGACGCTGGGACACCGCCGCGGGAGTGAGCTCGGCGGCTGCAGATGTCGCAGACCCTGCTCCTGCAGGTGTTTGACCTGCAGGAGCAGGGTTCGCGTGTGTCGTTGGCGCCGAGGGGGGCGAGGCTGCGGCCCCAGGCAGCCAACGTCACCGCCTCCTCGCTGCGTGGGCCCCTGGATCTCTCGGCCCTTCCCGAGAGGTGGCTCCTCACCCTCGGAGCCGTTCTGTGACGGTCCCGCAGGAGCCAGAGCCAGGCCCTGGAGGCCAAACACTGAGAAAACACCAGCCGCCTCGATCTCTCCGCTGGATGTCTGGGTCCATGATCCTCAGGACGTGAATTAGCCCAGTCAGCTCGACCGACGCCCTCACTGCACCCCAGACGTCCGACGCCGTGCTCTTGTTATCACAACGTGGGCACCCAGTGGTCTAGACCACTTAGTGTGCAAACAGCACATTCCGCGCCCACCCCCAGCCGGGACCCCCGGCCAGAGCTCCTGGCTGGGGTGGGGGGGGGGGGTTGGAGTTCTTGGGGGCCGACAAGGCTGAAGGGGCCCTGGGACACACAAATAAGTACACACAAATAACAGGATTCCCAATGTTTTCCCATATTTTCTGGGTTTTTGTCTTCCCCCCCACTTCCCATATTTCTACATATTTTCTTGGGAATCGACGATCAATTGTGTCTGTGTGCTTTTTCTCCTCCTGAAAGGCTGGGAGCGGGGGTCCTGGCTTGGGGTGGGAGTGGGTTGTGCTGTCCTCAAAGTTGCCTCCTCCCGAAGGGTTTCATGGCGCGGGAAAGGGACCTCATGTCCCCGCCGCCGGCGTCCGCGTTGGTGGCCGGGCTGCCCTGGGCGGGGGTGGCTACCACGTCTACGACCACGACCGCGACCGCGACCGCGACCACGACGTCCGTGACGACCACCACCACGACCACCCGGGAGGCGCCCGGCATCGGGGTCCTCCCGCTCTCTCTATTCATCCTGCTCTTCCTCCGCTCGTAGTCCTCGTGATCCGCCTCCTCGGCTCCTGTCTTCGCCTCCCTCCTCCTCTTGGCAGGTCTTAGCAGCATTTCTTTTCCCTCCCCCTTTTTCCTGGTTGCCATTGCCGTTGTTTCAGCAGCGTCTCTCCAACTGGCTGGAACCACCCCAGCCCTCGCAGGTAGCATCACCCATATCACTGGGGCAAGCCTGCGCCACATCACTCAGCAGGGAAGCGTGATGGACGAGGAGGAAAGATGAGAGAGGAAGAGGAGGAGAAGGAGGAGGGAGAAGAAGGAGGAGGAGGAGGAGGAGGAGGAAGAGGGAAAGGAGGAGGAGGAGGAGGAGGAGGAGGAGGAACGCCTACAGCGAGGGCGGCACGTCTCGTAAGATCACATTCGGCCCATCGAGTCTTCCTCGTCGCTCAGCAAGCCTAGTTAGGGAACACATCGCAACAACGCATTTGCAGGAATACGTGGCACGCATATCCCATCCTTCTCTTTCGGATTTCCACCTCAATCCACACGTCGAGCGAAATATGAAGTACCCCAAGTGGGAAATGAATGACACAAAAACAGGTTAGCGCGGGGATCCACTCAGAGGAACCCCTCTCACGTGAGCACGCGAAAGGCAAGGGCGGCCAGGGAGAAGGGCAGGGCACAGGATGAGGAGGGAAGGCAAGGGAGAAGGGGAGGCCAGGAAGGAGGGGTCATTGAGGTGAGGAGCGACAGGGGAGGAGGATGCGATGGTGGTGATGATGATGATGATGATGGTGATGATGATGATGATGATGATGATGATGACGATGGCGATGATGATGCTGATGATGATACTGCTGATGATGATGGTGATGATGATGAAGAGGAGGCGGATGAGGATGACGATGATGTTGATGATGGTGTTGATGCTGCTGTTGATGATGACGCTGGTGATGATGATGATGATGAGGAGGCTGCTGACGTTGATGATGGCGATGCTGATGATGCTGTTGATGGTGATGGTGGTGGTGACGATGACGACGATGATGATGATTATGATGATGACGTTCATGATAATGCTGCTGCTGATGATGATGATGGCGATGATGCTGATGATGATGATGCTGATGTCGATGCTGATGCTGGTGGTTGATGGCGTGTGCGCTGCTCCAAGTGTTCTCTGTTCCCTCCTCCCCCTCATCCTACTGGCCAGGGCGCCTTTGCTCGCGCAGGTTTGCTCGGGGCCTCCCGCCGAGAAAACAAAAACAAAAAAACGTCCACGGAGTTTCCTCCCCTCCTTCCCCTTCGGGGAGGGGCTCACCCCTCCCCCCGCCTCATCCCCTGGACCTGGACGGTGGGGGAGGGGGGCGGCGATGGGGTTGGAGCTTCCAAGATTGCCCAAGATGGCCCCCAAAGCGCCTCGGCGAGCCCAAGATGGCCTCCAAGATAGCTCAAGAGATCCCAAGATGCCTCAAGATGGCTTCCAGGATGTCCGAAGACGGCACCAGGCGGCGACGGAGCCTTCCATGGGAGGCCGCCAGGATGCCAACCTTCAAACACCTGAGGACAATCAATGTCGTTGGCTTTCTCGCCTTCTCGCTTGCCCCAAGATGGCCTGAACATGGCCCAAGAGGGCCCCACGAGAGCCCCAAGACGGCCTCAAGAGCGCCCAAGGCCCAAAAGGCGTTCCGTGGGGTTCCCGAGGGGGGTGGCTAATTGAAGCTCCCCCCTTCCTTGATCGATCTCCTCCAAGAAGCCTCCAAAAGGCTCCCAAGATGTCCCCAAGAGGCCTCCAACATGCCCCAAGAAGCTCCCCCGAGGCACCCCCAGACGCTCCAAGAGGCCCCCAGGACCGCCAGGAGGCCCCCAAGTAGCCTCAAGTGGCCTCCAACAAGTTCCCCAGCGATACCCCAAGAGACTCCGAAAGGCCTCTTGCCCTTCTGCTCGCCCTTCTCCTCCTCCTCCCGTTCCCCCCCTCCTCCTATTCGCCTGCTCCTGCTTCTCCTCCTCCTATTCCTCCTCAGTCATCCCCCCTTTTCTCGTGCGAGTGCTTCTCAAGCCGCTTGTTCTTTTGTATGCCCCCCCACTTCCATTGCCAGGGCAACGCATCGTTTCTGGACGGGCTGGCGGGGATGCGCGAAGCGTCAACCATTTGGGCTCCGCTTTCTTGGCATTACCCATTGCTTGGCATTGTTTGGCATTGTTTGGCATTGCTTCAGCGCCTGCCATTGCCCGGCATTGCCGCTCCATCGTGCCCCCCCTGGCGGTGCCCTTGGGATCTGTGGCCTTCGCCCCCCTATTTTCTTCAATAGCTGTTGGGGTCCGAGCAAGCTGACCCTGACCATCATGCTTGCATGCCTCAAGCAAGCCGTCGTTCTGCTGACGTGGGTAGGCTGCCCAACAGCCACGTACCAGCATGGCGGTCAGCCCGTCGATCAGCTCGGCAACGACGAATTCATACGTATGCTGACCAATGACATCATGTTCTTTGGCAACGATGTGCAGGATTGTTGGAACGTGACCCTCCTTTCCAGCCTGCTCGACGAGTTCGTCGAGTTCGCTCGGCGCCTCTATGACGCGCCAGATTCATTCAAAGCATCTACGGGCCACCCTGTCGAGGACATCGACTGGGACTACTGGCGCGACCGACTGCGTCAGGCGCCTTCAGCTTCATCATCAGGGCCTCCAGTTTCATCAGGGCCCTCAGCTTCATCAGGGCCTCCAGCTTCATCAGGGCCTCCAGCAGCTGCTTCATCGGGGCCTCCAGCAGCAGCTTCATCAGGGACTACAGCTTCATCAGGGACTACAGCTTCATCAGGGACTACAGCGTCATCAGGGCCTCCAGCTTCAACAGGGACTACAGCAGCCTCAGCCAAGACTACGACCATCGTCGACCTCACCAACGACAGCATCGACGACGCGGCGGGGCCGCGCGTCAAGCGCATCCGCTCTAGAGCGCAGGCGCCTGGCACATAAAACGCACGCAGTGATGGGCAGGAGGGGGCGAAGGAGAGGATGAGGGAGAGGGGGAAGGATACGGGATGACGAGGAGGACGGAGGAACATAATTCAGAGAGGGGGGGAGAGGAGACGGAGCGAGAGGCTCGGAGGGGGGAGGAGACTGAGGAGAGGGAGGAGGAGTGAACGAAGGAGGAGGAGGGGGAGGGGGAAGAGGAGGAGGAGTTGGCCTTGGAGTTTGACGAGCAGACCATCTTCTCATCCATCCACCTTGTGGCCCTCGACCTTCGCCCCCAACTCCTCCAACCTATCCAGCAACTCCTGCGCCTCTGGGTCTTCTTTGGGGCGACAGGCACGCGCGAAGGAGGAGATCACTTGTGCGCGCGCAGTCGACCCGAAGGAGGAGCTCACAGAGACCCAAGTGTTGCGGGATAGGCTGGAGGAAGTGGAGACGCAGATCACGGGCTTCAAATGGGACGAGGCGTTCGATGCGGCAGGGGTCCTGGAGGCCTCTCTCACTCCTTACCTGCCCTCGCCATTCCCCCCTTCCGCTTCTCAAGGGGGTATCCAGGAGGAGGAAGAAAAAGAGGAGGAGCTCCCCCCAAGGCGCAGCCTGACTGCGACGCCTACGGCTACGACGGCCTGATGGGGGCTACGGCTACGACGACTACGACTGCCTGACGAGGACCCTCTTCTCAAATCCATATCCACAGCTGTCCGAGTTCAGCCCTGTTCCAGCCAGCCAGCCCCCGAGGGCAGGCAAACTTCGGGCAGTCACCCTTCCCCTCCATCTGCCGCTCCTCCTCCCCGGCCGCCCGCCCAGGACGGCCTGGGCCACGCCCCGGCGGAGCCCGTCGTCTGGCCCGGGGGCCAGCCCGTCGGCCAGTTCGAGGCGCGCGCGCGCGGAGTGGCTGCTCCGCTCGCGGCCTCCAGCATCATCATCATCATCATCATCATCGCCATCATCATCATCATCATCGTCATCATCATCAGCGTCATCATCAGCAGCAGCATCATCATCACCATCATCATCATCATCATCTCAGCATCGCCAGCATCATGATCAGGATCATCGCCATCATCAACGTCATCACCATCATCATCATCACCATCATGATAACCATCATCATTATCATCACATCACCCTCCTCCTCCAACTCATCATCAACATTAACGCCCTTAATTCGCATTATCATTATCATCATCACCATCATGTTCAACATCATCATTGCCATCATCATCATCATCATCATCATCGCCATCATCATCATCATCTTCATCAGCAGCATCATCATCATCATCATCATCGTGATCGTCACCCCCGCTTCGGTTCACTCCTCACGCGTTTCATGACCCCAGAGGGAGCTCCATTTAAGGCCCCAGTGGCACAATTCGCACGTGGGCGTCACTCCCGGTGCGGTGCACTCCCCATACGCTTCATGGCCCCATAAGGAACTCCAGCTAAAGCCCCAATGGTACAGTTCGCATGTAGGCCTCACCTCAGTTTCCTCGCACCCCTCTCACGTTTCGTGGCCCCGCAGGGAACTCCAGCTAAGGCCCGCATGGTACCGTTCGCATATGGGCGCCACCCCCGCTTCTGCACATTCCTCACACGTTTCATGGCCCCGTAGGGAGCTCCAGCTAAGCCCCAGTGGCGCCGTTCGCATGTGGTCGTCACCCCTGTTTCGGAACGCTCCTCATTGTTACACGCTTCGCAGCTTCATAGGCAGCTCCACCTACGGGCCCAGTGGCACCGTTCGCATGTGGGCGTCATCTCAGTTTCGGCGCGCACCTCTCACGTTTCGTGGCCCCATATGGAGCTCCAGCTACGGCCCCAGTGGAACCGTTCGCATGTGGGCGCCACCCCCGTGCCCGCACATTCCTCACACGTTTTGTGGCCCATGCGGAGCTCCAACTAAAACCCAAATGACACCGTTCGCATATAGGCGACAACCCCGTTCCGGCACACCCTCGCACAGTTCCTGGCTTCATAGAGCTCCACCGAAGGCCCAGTTGCGCAGCCCGCGTG